ACCTGAGGTGGGAACATCAGGCCAGCTCTTTGAAGACGTGGAAGCTGGAGATGGGGCATGTGGGGGTGGGGAAGGCAAGAAGGGGCAGCTCCGGCCATTCCCACCCTTCCCAGAGCAGGGAGTGGCCGATCCACTCAGGTCTCAGGAGGCCATTCTTGCCACACCCCCTGCACAGCAAGTTTTGGGAGCAAGGTACAGAATCTTCTGTTTCTTCTTCTGATGGAGTCTCATTGTTTTCAGAATCAGAAGTTCAGGACAAAGGGTCTCAACAAGGGATACCTTTGGTATCACACCTTAGATCTACACAGTGCTCATGGGGTTTCACGTCATGTACAGAAGCACTTGTCCCCTGGGAGCTGTGTGACCTCCCAGAGAGACCCCGGGCTCAGAAAGGCTGCCCACACTGAGCCCAGGTGTTGATTCCCGTTCCAAGGTTCTTGCCACGTGATGCTTGCTGCCTTTGTGTGATTTTCATCTAAGTCATACTTCAGCCTTGGAAAGATGGGATGGGCAGAAATGATACTCCTCTTTGTTGAGTTGGGACACTGAATAACAAATTCATACAGAAAACCTGGCACAAGAAGGCAGGTCTTGTCATTGGCCAGGACCTGTGTTTCAGTTAAAAGCAACCTGGAGACGGGGAGCAGCAAAAGAGGCGCAGGGCGGTGAAGGTGGGGCGGCGTGGACCAGGGACAACCAGAGACAGACTATTCAGGGCAACTTCCCGTTGTCCAGCAGAAAGTCACAGCTTCCTCTGCCTCCTGCCTCAGCTTCCTCTTCTGAAAGTCTCCCAAGGGGCTGCAGGGAGGAGGGAATGGGGAGTTGCCACTTGGGGGGCACCGCTGCAGTCGGGATGATGCAAGTCTGGAGATGAGTGGTGGTGACGGCCGCGCAACTTGTCAAGGTGCTTAACACCAATTAAAATGGCGGAGGTGGTGCATTTTATGTTGCGTATGTTTTACACAGTTTAAAAAGTGCCCCAAGGGGACAAGCCCACTAAAGGTTTCCAAGTTTTCGTCAACTCTGAAAGTTGATGGTCTTTATCCTAATCGGAAGTTTTCTCCCAGATTAGCTTCACCTTTCCAAGTGTCTCCTCTCCCTCATCTCTCGGAACCCTCTCCCACGAGATTCCAGCTCTGTTCTCACTGCAGAAAGTGGGCCTCTGAGCGGAACACCTGATGGCTGGCACTACGGCCACGGGCCATGTCTGTGCTCAGTCACGTCCCGTGTCACGTGGCTGGGGACTGACCTTCTCTGCTGCAGGTGGTACTAGGCATTTAAGAAAACTTAAAGTGCATTTACTAAATTGGGCTTGACCTAAAAGCTGGGTTAAGAATCCTTGTCCCTGAAGAGGAAGCCTGGGAGGTAGGTTCAGGCCTCCCTACCCCAGCATATTGATGCAGGCGAGTGGCAGGGCTGGGGTTGGAAGGCAGGTGCAAAAGCCCAAGCACCCACGCAGTCCTCAGACAACTTCTCAGAGGTGGCATGGGTGGGCACCCTGCCCAGCCCAGGTCCTAACAGAAATCCACTCCAGCTCAGACTTCTCAGAAAGGGCCGCTGGCTCAGAGGGCAGATGCTGAGTCTCAAGCCCCCAGCCTGGTTCCAGCCTGGGTATCAGTGCAGACGCCGGGCCGCGGCAGCACCGCGAAGCTGTCAGGTGAGTGCGTCGTGCCCAGCCCGCCTTCGCATCTGTGCTTCTTTTCAACAAAAGGTGATCAGTGGTCTAAGCTGTCCTGGAACAACTGAACTAATATTGACTTGTTCCCAAGATGGCCTAGTGTTTGATTTTTAGCCCGATCTGACTCTTCTTCCGTGTGGAAACATTTCCCTCATCCATAATCTCCCCTCCACTCCTATTCCCAAAGTGTGATCTGTGCAAGCTGAAGAGGTAAGCTGAACCAGGGAAGATCCTTGTCATTCTGGGAACAGTTCTCTCTGAGGTGTCGTCATGGGTCAGCAGGAGAAAGGGCTGATGGGCCATGAGGGGATCACACAGACCTGGAGCCAATCTCGAAGCAGCCAGTGGTGTGGCCGCTGGCTCTGGGAGGAAGGAGTGGGGTTGTACTTGGGAACACTCATGAGTGTCCCTACAGGGAAAAAGGATGTAACTTTAGAATAGAACTGCCTCCTTTAGATAATTGGGTGTTTTTGGAAAGCTCTGTAAATCAGATTCCTGGAGTTCAAAGTGATCAATTTTTCTTTAGCTTTGAAGGATGTGCCACTATATCTCCCTAAAACGGTATGGTGGGACATATGCCAGCTCTGAGGGTAGCAAGCAGCTGCTGTGGAAGGACAGACCCCAGGAAACAGCTCCTTATAGGAATGCTTCAATTCACTGAGGAAAAAACAAAAAATGCTTGGGTAGTGACAGGCATGTGGAGGCTGGACAAGGGCCCGCACAGCGAGGAACGGGGTCAAGGGGCTGGCACCGGCTCAGGGGTGTCGGCAGGCCGTGGAGCTGCAGTGCAGCTCAGCACAGCACAGGCACCCGCTCCCACAGCCTGTCACGATCCCAGGCCGGGGACCGGGCTGGGCCGGGTAGTGAGGTCCAAAGCTGTTGCTTTAGCAGCAAGAGGCCTTCAAGAGGTGGTCCTCCCTCCTGTTTCTTAAGCCAGGTCTTCAAAGTATAGCTCCTTTCAAGTGCATCTGTGGCCGTTTTCTTCTGCAGTGGACTCTGTGGTAAGGTTCTACTTACCTCCCCCTTGAGAAAGCTCTCAACTCATATCGAACAGTTTGACTTTCTATATCTTATTTGTTACCTGTGTCTGTAAACACTAAGCTAGCAGTGCCAAGATGCCTGCTCTCCCTCAGCACCTGCTTATGTGTTCAGAGTTAATTTCAAGGTGGCAACACAGCTCAGAAGAGCTCACTGATGCCGAGAAGGATCTGTATGAAATATGCAAGGGCTGCGTGCACACCTACTACAGAAAGGTGGGTTAACCAGAAGACTTGCAGTTCCCACCCACCCACCCCTTGAGAATTCCAGTTATTGAAGTTTGAAAACATTTTGGACCTGCATCAAGACAAGTTTTGGCTTTTCTCTGTTCAGCACTGACCCCCTAATGCCTTTGCTTCTGTGCCTCATTGCGCCTTCCCGGGACTCATCTCACTCAGGCCGGGCAAAGGCTACAAGCTTTGCATGAATAGGAGCCTCAGAAATGCATGCAATTAACAAAGCGGGGCTAAGATGTGTGCTCACGCATATGTACACTTTTGCTTCACTAAATGTCGAGTGGAGCATCCTGTTACAGCAGTTACCTCAGTGTGTGTTCCTCACCTGCATCACATTCCCCTGTGCCCACTGCTTCCTTTAAAGAGCAGAGTAGCAAAGTCACTCACTCTTCTCTCCCAGTCCCCAGAGCTGAAAAAGTTCCCAGATTGCCTTCTGGAACACAGATACCTGGCATTTCCCTCCCTCTGCTTGCAGATGACATCTCTGATACATGCCAGCAGCACAGGCTGGAGATACAGGAGTCACCGGGCACCTACAAGCTGACAGCTGCGGGCTCCATGGGAGCTGGTGCCTACCCTATGAAATGCAAGACAGGCAGAGCCAGACCCTCCTCCCCGCAGCTTCCTCCTTCTCTAAGATACACTTACGCTACACATGCAATATGCACTTCCTCCCACAGCGGAGCACTGCACCGACCCACACCTGCCAGATTTAGTTCTGTGGCATTACCCACATCCACAGGGGACTATTTTGTCCTGGCAGAACTCCTACTTTCAACCACTTGTCTCTGGCCCCGACTCAACTCCATTGGCTTCTTCCACAGAACTTACCACGTTTTGGGCAGCATGGTCTTTCTTGGATTTTGTGGTCATTGTCATAATAGGGTAACAGATTTCATTGAGATTAGGTGGAATTAGAATAAAAACAATAAAAATCCAACTAGTTAAGTGAAAAGCTTAGGGTTATGAAAAAAGAAGTTTTTTTTTTTTAAATTCTCTACTTTGGACTTAGAGGTAATCTCTAAACTTTTATCCATTATTGGAGATGGAGGCACAGATTTGGAGAAGAGAGTTTCAATGAACTCTGAAAGAAAAAAACGGCAGGGAAGACCAACTCCAACTTCGCTTGAATTGTCTGGGGTTAAAAATCACAATGGTTGCATTCATTGGGAAGGCAGGTGAGAGGCCCGTTTCCATAACCCCAAATAGCTTCTAGCCTAGAAGGAGTTGGAAGTTGATTTGATGTTCTTGCTGGTGGAGGTGCTGGTTCCACTGCCACATCGATCACCCCAGAGCCTGGGAAAGGCCCCAGGGCAGTGTCTCCGTCTCCCTGTCCCTAGAGAAACCTCTGTGAAGACTCTGGGAGGGAGGCCGTCCCGGACTCCTCTTCCGGCACGGCAGGCACAGACACTGCCCAGAAGCCCTGGGGCCAGGCAGAGGGGGGCTCTTGAAGGTGCTGCAATTGCTCCTCATCTGCTATCAAGCCAGCTGTACACAGTGACTGGTGCCCAGTCTCCACAAAATCATACTCAGAACATGATTTTGCTGGACTCTCAAGGGAAGAATAGGTCCCGTTGGAAGAACCAGATAAGGAGGGTAAAGGGGATACAAAAAGAGGGAAATGGGAGGAGAGGGAGGCAAAAGTGGGAAAAACTAAAACTAATGCATTCTTATTTTTTGGCTAGAAAGCAACCACTCTTTATAATGCCATTTTTCATGAACAAAAAAAATGTGTTCTAAGTTTCCAATAATGAAGTTAAATATTTTCTACATAAAGTCAAACTGGCAAAAGAAGAAAATACCAAGCAAGCATTTGAGAGAAATAGAAGTGTGTGTTTTCAAAAAGACATCTAGGGAGAGTTTTCTATCAAAATCTAACTGAATTACATTTGTTTGTTTGTTTTTCCAGTTGGGATGGAACACCCAGAGATGCTCTGGCATAACAATTTATCCTTGTCTAGCTGGTCACTTTGGCAAGGCCACTGTCACAGAACACATTAAAAAAGACAATCATTGTAAAAAAACAGGACAACAATAGCTGCTTCTACCTCCATGCTAGTATTAGGGTCAAGATCATCACACTCTGACTCCTCGGAACTGTTCGTCTCCTTGATGGGCAGCATGAGGAAGGGGGAAGAAAGAGAACACAGTTAGAACACAGACAGTTTTTGCTAGAGAGCGAGGAGAACTTCAGAGAAGCATGGGCAATGGGAAACCGGGCAGAGGAGGACCAGGTGGGTTGCGAGTCACCAAGGGCGGCAGCATGCTCTGCTCAGGAGTGAAGGCTGGGACCACGGACAGCCGGACAGCCGGACAGCCATCATCTCACAGGAAATAGCAATGGAAGCAACTGAATGAAGCATGAGTGCTGTTGAGTTTAAACTGTGGTCTTCCGTGTGACAGGCTGGCCTTCCCGCATGAGAGTGAGGAGAGAATACAATTTCTTTTCCCCAAGAAGGACGTTAGAACAGGTTTCAGTTGTTCTTATTTTGCTCAGGAAGGGGAAAAAGTGCCAGGCAGATAAACACACATTAAAGCACAATTGAACCTCGGCCATCTAATTTCCATTTCCCAGAGTCAGCACTTTCCAGAGGGCACAGTGGAAGAAAACAGATCCCAATGTTTTGAGGCGGGAGGCAACGAGAGTCTGCCAAAGCCTGTAACCCGTGAGTTCAGGGTAATAAGTGGATCATCCCAAAGCAGTGACTTGGGCTTCACCAGTGTGCCACCCTTCCCTGCCCTGCCCAGGCCTGAGGGTGACGTCTGGATTCCGGGGAAAAGAAACGAGACTTTACCAAGGGCACAGTGGCCCTTACGTTCCAAACCTCAGGCGTCACAGGGTTGAGGGTTTGGAAAGCACCCCACATCTCTTTACCCGGCACGAGTTTTCAAACCTAGGGCACTGCCTGCGTGGGCAACTTGGAGAACTCCAGTATGAATCAAGCGCCTTGCATTTCTAAGAGAATAATGCTGCAGATAATTTTGCTATAAAACATCTGCATAGTATAAAGTCATAAAAGAAAAAAAAGAGATACTTACTTACTCGAATCGAAGTTGCCAGGAGAAATAAAAAATAAAAAATAAATTGATCTTGCATGCAAAATCCTGTTAAACTACCTCCCCTCTGGTTCCCACACTGGGGGAAAAAACCCCGTCCTCCCAGATCGCCTCGTGAGAATGCTGCAGGGTGGGAGTGGATGAGAGGTGGGACACGGCTCCGGAATGCCTTACTCACTTTAACAGAGACTTTGTTGCCCAGAATATCCTTGGGTTTACGAGACCCTGTGGCTTCACTTTTACCCGTGTTCTCCACTTCCGCCCGCTTTCTCATGCGTAGAGTGTGCCATGAACATGACTTCCTGTTGTACCAAAAAATGCACCAATCAAAATGGCAGGCCAGGGCAGGGTGAAGCGGTGGGTGGGCTCGCCACCCGTGCTGAGTCAGTGGGTGAGGGGCTCCAGTCCGGCCGGCTGCCGAGGCCCCGCACCTGCAGGCCAGTCCCTGCCTGTGGTGGCGCGCGGGGACCTCGCCTCCCTCGGGAAGCCAGCGAGGATGAAGTCTGACTCCTCCTGACAGATGTGCAAGGTTGACTGCAGCATTTGAGAAAAATACGAGTGCCAGGTTATTAAACGCTACCAGGGGCAATTTTTATAAAATTACTGATGAGATCTTATAGGACTGAGGAGTTCCCTTCCTGAAGGGTATGGTGGGTAGGGGAAGAATGGCGGCGGCCGTGGGGGTGGGGGGCGGGGAGACACAGGAAAGATAAAAGTGGTACCTTCTATAGTGCATAACCCACTGGCACTTTCCCGGGACCAGGCATAGACCCCCAAAAGGGTGATTTTCAGGTTTCCATACCCTCATTTGTGCTTGGGTGGTGACCACTCCCAACTCTGCAGTACAGACAGGATTTTCTGGGGCATTTGACTTAATGAACAGTTGAGCACCACTCATTCATCCGAACAGTTTAGGATAAAGGGTGTTTGGGCCTGTGTTACCCACATCACTCGGTGTTCGTGAATATAGGGCTCTGCCAACCACTAAGAGGTTTTCCCGTTGGGAGAAGAACCACAATATGCCCTCGGGAAGGGGTGGGCAGCAATGCCCTTTCACACAGTCCTAACTTCTTTCTCACCACGAGGGTACTTCTCCACAGACGTGCAAAGAGAAGCTCAAAGCAGAGCTCCTCATGTGGTATGACTCAAAGACGAAGACACCAAAAGCCAAGTCACACACACCATCAGTGGCCCTGGGCAGGTGTCGTCACTTTCAGGCGTGGTCACAGACTCTGGATGAAGCTCTAAGGTTGTCTGAGATAAGTGGGGTTGGCGTCCCTTCAGTGTCTCCTGGTCAGGTTTAGACCTATGTAGACCAAATCTCAATGAAAAGCACTCCCATTGAGGGAGACAGGAGAGAAGGAGGCATAGGAGATTCAGGAGGAAGGAGGGTACCCCAAAATGTACAGCATCCCCTCCACAAAGTTCCACATACACTAGGAATTTTAGGATGTTCTGAGAAAGGTGTCCCCAAAATATTTATCTCTAACACACATGGTCAAAAATCCACCTTCTGCATAGGCAAGAGCAATCATTGTCACATTCTTGAATTTTTTTGGGAGAGGGGGCTCTTTTAAAAGGCAAGAAAGAGTCTTGGCCAGACCATCCCTTGTAGCTCCTAGGCAGGCTGTCTGGGATCCACGCACACCACCAGCTCCTTCCTCCATTTGCTGCATCTGAATGGGAGCCACGCATGGAAGCTGACCTCAGATGGCATCACTCTGTTAACCTCAGACTTTCATCTCATGTCTTTACCCCAAATCCATGCCTCTAGCTCTTTCTGAGAAGGTCCTGAGCCAAGCAAGGACTCCAGGGTAGACAGTGGTGTGGGCTAGTGTGAGTGCGGGGTGTGTCCCTGTGTTTATTGGCACCCTGTGGGTCACTGAGTGTGCTTGGTGGGGAGCTGCAAATGTCATAAATAATGTTCAGGAGGGAGACTCAGAGTAGTGCAAATGGCAGGACAGGCTCAATTTCACATTTTCTTCCCAGAAGAACTCATCATCAAGGTTCGGGGAGCCCCCATCTCTCGGCCACAGCCTCGGAGACGGATGTGGAGACAGGGTCACAGCGACATCGATCCTGCAGGTGTCACACTAACTCTGACCTCTGCGGTATGACCTCTGCAGGCCCTGGGGAGGGGGTGGTATGTGTCATTCACTGGTAAATGACAACTGCTTTAGTCTGTTGCTCTGCACCCCACCCCTGCCTTGTACAAGAGCAGCTGACAAGGAACCAAAATGACCAACTTGTATCAAGTCTGTTGTCTCTCACCCAGCCTGACAACCCTCCTACCTGCCCTCCCACAGAAGGCGTGAAAAAGTGACCGAAAGACCCAAGGGTAAGGAGGAGGATGAGCTCAGGGCTTAGATAATTAGATCACAAATCATGACGAGTTAGTTCTGTAAGGCCACTGATGAATGAGAACTTCAACACCTTGAGTGTCTTTATTTACAAGGTGTCCCCGTAAAGGGCACCCAGGCCAAACACCTTTAGAATAAAATGAATTGGGCCTATTTGTGCCTTAGGGGCCACTGCTGATCTGCAGTTGGGCCTGTAGTTACCCAGCAAGGCCAGGGCGAGGTCGGGAGCCTCTAACACCTGAGCTTCAGAAAAGGCCCATGAAGCACAGTTGTGTTGGTGACCCTGCTCAGACGTCTACTGGGAGCTCCTTCTGTCCCCAGCACCAGGGACCACACAGCATGGCAAGCAGTGGGGTTGCGAGCCAAACACTACCTTCTCCTCCAGTCATTAATTCATGTAAGCACCTCAAGGTCACCCGGTTGGACAGCATCCAGTCTGCATCATTCCTCATCTGAGGTTAGAGGAAAACCAATAGAGGCTATTTAGAAGGGGAGGCTGGGGTTGGAGCTTTAGCAACTGTTTGTGGAGGAAAAGACTGCCAATGCATTCAACCAACTCCTAAAATACAGAAAAGAACAGAAAAGGAAGGGCGTGGGGGGGTGGGGAGTAGGAGAATAATCATTTGTATATTGAAAGTCCCAGAATAGTGAAATGGGGAAAAAGGGTCAACTAGTCTTTAACCTCATTAAAACATGCTCATGGTGAAAATTTATTTACATATTTAAAATAGCACATTAAAGTCCTTAGTTACAGCACAGGTACAATGGTGAACATTGTGACTCTCCATTATATTGCACAGCCTGACTCCGTCCGCATGGGTCTCTTTAAATAGTGCAAATACTTTATACAGGAATGTGTTCGGAAGGGTCTTTGCAACCAAAATAAGAAAAAGAAATATCTTACAAATTGCCATGAACACATATTAAAGGAACAGGGGAGGGGAAATAAAAAAAAAGTACAATCTGTACAGAGGAATTGCCACAGACAACCAAAAAGTTCCCTCTCTCCTGGGAGAAGCAGCGGGCCTCCGACCTCACAGGTCTGTCTGGCATTTGTGCTAAGGTAATTTTTTGGTGTCAATCAAAAAATATATATATCAGTAACTTAATACAATATAAATAGAAGTCCAGTCCAGTGAATCCTGTGGTGGGTCAAGTGGAGCAACGGAAGGCATGCTTTTGTCACCTAGGGTCTCAGTAGGGTCGTTTTCTTAACCGGGGGGGAAGAGAGGGAAAAAATGAACACAAAATTATAAACAAAAAGGAAAGGAAAACCACCGCCACTACCATCAACGAAAACAAAAAAATCCAGCGCAATCCAGCCTGGGCGCCCTGCTGCGTGCGGCTCCAGCACTCGGACATGGGTCCCGGTGGCACTGTCGAGATTAAGCAGCAGTGATTCCCTACCGTGTGTTTGCATGTTTGGGTTCTTTGTTTGTTTTGGAATTTTTTAAATCCACATACTCCTCTCCCGGGGAAGCCAATGAGGCACTTACTTGATGCTCCCGTCACTACTTTCTGCCGCTGCCGTGGCTTTGGTGAGGGGTGCCAGGATGCTGCCCGGGACCCAGCCCTCGGCCGCGGGCGAGTGGTCACTGGCAGGCTGGTACACCAGGCACATGTTCTGCTGGTTGACGGCGAGGACCTGGACCACCTCACCTTGGCTCACACAGATTTCGTTCTCCTTCAGTGCATAGTAATCTTTGATCACAGCCATAGACGAAGTCCCATTGCAGCCTCCCAGGTCACTCTGCTGGGAGACAGGGCGAGAGGAACCCAGATACAAGAAGGCTGGTTTGCAGGGGCTTGCTGGGCATCCTAAAGTGTGCCGAAAAGCCAGACCTCCCACTAGCAGGGTAAATAACAGGCAGAATATTATCTTGAGTAATCACATTATACTCATAAACACACTCTTGTTTCACACAATATATAGTCAAGGGTGGACAGGTAGAGATACTGTCTGGCCTAGGTAAAGGGGTAGCCACACCTTCTACCTGGAAGCCCCTCCCTCACGTGCAACCATCTTGCCTGCATCCTTGGATTAGTGGAGGGAGCAGCATGGTACTGGCAGAGGGACATGCGAGCACCTGGATGAAGTGAAGCCAGGGCAAATGAGTAAAGGGTCATAATGCCCAGTGGGAAGAGCACAGATGCTTTGGTACATTTTTTGTTCCTTTTGAAAAAGCATTGGTCTTACTCTGCATTCTGACCCTCCCTGCGACAGGAATAACAATGAGGCATTTGCCCAATTCATAGGCAAGGTCATGACCCACCCTGACCCAACTCCTGTGGGGAACAGACCTCCTCCAGGGCCCCCTGCACTGATTTATACAGAGGCCCTGCATCCACGGCCTTTTCACGAGGCTCTACACTAGGGAAGCTGCTTCTAGACAGACCTGTGACTCCCAGGTCTGGGAGTCACTCCCAGGGAGGCCTGGCTGCCTTATAGAGCATAGTGAGAACCAGAAATTCTTTAAAATCTGTGACAAAATGCCAATGTGACTTCATCTTATTCATGAGAGCAGGGGTCATGAAGGTGGCAAATCATTTCTGGGTGATTCAATGAAGTCAGTATAGTTACTCTGACACAGAAGTGAATTTAAACATGTTAGTGGAAAAAAAATCAATGTCATCTAATAATTCAGGTAAAAAGAATGAAAGTGTAAAATCAGAATATGTAGGTCAAAATGGAGATGTTCCTGTTCACAGACCCACTGAGTTCCAGAGCACACTGAGGCCTAATCTGATGAACTGACTTGCTGAAGTTCCAGGGCAAGTGAACTGCAGGATTAGAATGGACACCAGATCACCTAATCCCTAATCTAGCACTTTTCCCATTTGTTCTCTGGTTCCTACTACCTTGGAGGATCAAAACAAATGTGTAGTCTAGGTGTACAGTTAAGTCTGTGGCGGCCCTCAGGTGATGTTTAAAGGATGGATTATGTACGGTAAATGTTTAATCCAAGGCTGGCTGCCCCATCACACTCATGAGTAACTTCTTGCCACATCAGCCAATGGGGAGTGAAGAACTATGAGTTTCCATTGGCAGCTCATCATTAGAAAAGGCAATCTCTTTAAAGTGTCAACCACTAGAGCTGTGCCTTTTAGATGGTCTGCAGCACAACTACTCTATTTGGTATAAATCCCACTTTTCACAATTGCTACTACAATAATACCTTAGATTTGTAAAGAGTTTCTGTAGATGACAGTAGCCCTTGAACAGAATGTCTGAGACAGAAGGAACTGGTCTAACACTCAATTTGCAGGGAAGAAAGAGAAACAACAGACTAGTCTGTATCCAGTCTGTATCCTGTCAAAATGATCACCATAAAAAAAATGCTACTTCTTCCCTGGCTGGTGTGGCTCAGTGGATTGATTGTCAGATTGAGAACCGAGAGGTCACTGGTTCAATTCCCAGTCAGGTCACATGCCTGAGTTGCAGGCCAGGTCCCCAGTTGGGGGTGCATGAGAGGAAGCCACACATTGATGTTGGCTTCATTGATTTATTGATTTTATTGATTTTTTCTCTCTAAAAATCAATAAAATCTTTTTTTAAAGATTTTATTTATTTTATTTTTAGAGAGAGGGGAAGGGAAAGAGAAAGGGAGAGAAACATCAATGTGTGGCTTCCTCTCATGCACCCCCAACTGGGGACCTGGCCTGCAACTCAGGCATGTGCCCTGACTGGGAATTGAAACAGGGACCCTTTGGTTCACAGCCCACACTCAATCCTCTGAGCTACACCAGCCAGGGCAAAATCAATAAAATCTTCAAAAAAATGCTACTTCCTAAAAGTGAGCCCTAAGGCTGTTCCCTCAGAGAGGTAAGGATGGGAATAATGGGCTGTCACTTACCTTGCTGGCCTCAAACTTGTCCCCAGGCTGGTGGTAGTCAAACCCTGGATTGCCATTGGAGGTAGATATCTTCAGAGGTGGCAGAGGGGGGTTATAGCTGGAGCCCTTTGGGGGCTTCTCAGAGCCCACGGGGACAGAGGAGTAGGGCCTAGGGCTGGCTTGAAGAGGCCTAGCAGGCTGGGACCTCATCACAGCTGTGCTCCTCTCCTTCCGCTGATACTCAATGGGTGACTGTAGTGCTGCAGAGCAAGAGCTAATGGTTACTTAGAGCTTTTAGAATCCCATAGGGTTTGGAGGCTTCTTAGGGACAGGCTCCGTGACAGGCATAATGGAGGTGTACGAGGAAGACCCTGCCCTTGTTGTTAAGGACCTTGTAATCCACTGTGAGAATAAGAAACCTATCTGAATAATGAAAATATGCATACAAAGCCCAAATAATTGCCATATACGAGGTGCAGAGCGTTGTGCAAAAGAAGGGAGAGAGGACTCTGTAGCATGTGTGCACATGGGGTGTATAAGTATACAGGTGGTGGCGATAAGACCTTCAGAAGGGGGCCGGCTGTCTGACTCTGCCAGGCAGACTTTGCAGGAAGGAAGCAAGTGTGCAGTGTGTCTGGGGAACAGGATGGAGTCAGGTCACGAGGAGGATGGGGCCATACGTCTCCATGGGGAAAGAGGAGATGCGGTGGGTAGGGGAGGCTGGAGGAGCCATGGTGTGAGAGATCTAGAAAACCGAGTCTGGATTTAATCCTGAAGATCACGAAAAGTGACTAGATTCACCGAACCTGAACGTTTTAAATTCGGATTCCATCAACAGAACCACACTCGCAGGACATTAAGCAGCAGCTGGGAGGAGAGACTGCTAACCAGAGCGAGTCGGTGGGAATGTGGACGGATGTGGAGCAGCAAGTGCTCTGGAGGCAGACTCGACTCCAGCCGCCTCGGTGGGAAAGGAAGGCAAGAATCCAGGGTCGCTCGGGTTCGGGTTTGCAGACTGGGAAAATGGTTGCCAAGGGGCAAAGATGTGAACTTTGCTTTACTGATTTGAAGATAACAAAGTCCCAAGGTTTGAGTCCTGAACAGCCAGGCAAAAGCCATACTGGTCAAATTCTGTAATCATGGCTTCAAGGGCTGGCCTGATTGTGTGGGTTTTATCAGTTTTCACTGTAATAAATACTTCAGTGGGTTAATAGCCGGGGCCCAGAGAACTTTCGGTTATAGGGATATTTCTGTAGGGGTAGGTATGAACTCCAGTAGGACATGACATAGGTCACACTTCCTTTCTATTCAAGGTCTCAGGAGGGAAAGACAGGCTCTGAGATGCCTGCACGTGTCTCCGAACAAGCCTGGCCCTGGCCCTGGCCCATCATCACGTCTCTTGAGTGTGTCAGAGCTCAGCCTTTCTCCCTGGGGAGTGTGCTGCAGGCATAAAATATTGAGGTATTGATAATGTAGTTTAGTAACAGCTTCATAATTCACTAAAATTAGGAGAGAGGCCTCTTGGAGCCAATGAACCAGTCTGAATCATGGACTGTGCTCTAAGAAACGCAGTTCTAAGTTTTAAGTAGGCCGCAGAGAGTTGTGAAGCTCGCCTTGTCAAACTGTCCTGCTGAGGCAACACCTGTCTCACGGACCTGGGGCCTTAACTGATTACATGCAGTAACTGCGCTCCAGCGTTTGAGCCTGTGTCCTTCCGCCAGCCTCAATCTGTATAATTTAGGTCGCAGCATCGCGAAAGCTGTGCACGTCCAGACAGGATTGTTTCCAGCTGGCAGATGCAGCGTCTTATGCCTGATCCTGTTTCTTTCTTTGCTTTGTTTGGTAGGGAGCTCATATGTAAATGTGTATTCTACCACGAGCTACTATACCACAGTTTTGTGGGTAAGACCCTAATTTTAAGTTATATAGTTCTGGGTTGAAGTCCTTGTTTCTGTGACTTTGGACAAGTTTCTTAACCTCTCTGAGCCTCTTTTTCCTCACCTCAAAAATATATGATGACAGTACCTGTCTCCCCAGGTTGATGTGAGAGCTAAGTGAGTGTGACAGCACACGAGAGACGCTGCGCACGGTGCCCGGCCCCAGAGAGAGGATGGCCGCCAGCTCCGCTATTTCAGCTATTTCTGGTTTCACCTTCTTGTTCTGCTTTATTTTTCCTTTGTCCTGAACAGATGAATTTAGAAGCCTCATTCCACCTTGGAGTCTATCAGAAATCCCTGATACAGTGAAATTTAATAAATATATTTTATGTATGCACATATTTTTGTACGAAGCTGTTTTATCAACATAAGTATTAATTCAAAGTTGTACATTCGGACACTGTAACTTTTATATGACTTTCATTACTATCTGTCAGGGCTGGGCTGGTGTTTAATTTAGACTTTTTAGAATGAGAAAGAACCCTAGAGATCACTTTACTTACTTGTTTTTTCTCAAACTATTCTACAGTTGGGGAACCAGTGTGAAACTGCTTTGAAGTTTCATGTCCTAACTTAGAAAGTCATGGCATCCTGCTATATATTTCTTTTTATTTGTTTTAAGATAAATACAGGGTCTTAAATCTCCTATCATGGAAGAGATGACTTAGCCAGGCTTTCACACTGTTGGCGGGGGCAGGGGCATTTGAACGGATCTGCCAAATTCCCAGGTGTCTCTAGTTCACACGAGAGAACCCGTGAGAGTAGCAGCCATTAGCCACCAAAGGCGAAGACCCATGTCCTTGATGGCCCCTATGAGGAAGAGGACATGCCCACCTCAGGTGTTTGCCTCGATTATTACCAGCTGGTAATGGTGCCACAGACATATATCCTATGTGTAGGCTGTTATAAGGGAATATCCCTTCCTTTGAAAAGATGGGGCATCTTTACAATGCTTCATCTGTTCCGCTTATATATTCAGGTTCAGAAAAATTCTAAACAAAGTGTCTTTGAAAACTACAAAGTTGAACTTCACATAAAACATGGTCTGGGCTTATAACACACCCTGAACCCAGACCCAAGGAATATCAGAGGTGTGGGGTCCCACATAATTGTGCTGCTAGAAGCTGGGCCCAGTACCCACCATTTAAGAAGTCTCGTTGTGTTTCTAAGACTTGATTGATGTCCTGCACCCAGGCCTGCTGGATGTCAGCGTTGGCGGCTTGCAGAATGACCCTCTCCGAAGTTTCCCTGTTCATGAGTGCGAACTTGCAGGGGTCGTTGTCCACATTCTCCTCCAGGACCAAGTAGTTCATCTGGGAGATACCAAGTCAATCCTTTTCATATTTAAATGGTTTAATAAAAATCAAGAACATACTACAGTTCCTCCCAGTTTTTATTTCAGGAGATGTTTCCAAACTTTTGCCCTGGATCTAACAGCTAAATACTTTGGTCTCTGTCTTTGAGTGAATGACACGACCCTGGAGAACCTACAGGCCCGCAACAGGGACGGGCTCTCAGCCTGTCACTTCTCACGCATATCCATCCTTCACACCTGAAGGTTCTGAGGCTGAAAGGCCTGCAGTGGTCAGAACCTTACTCACTCCTCTGCCTTAGGGATGCAGCTCCCCCCAGTTTGGCTCTTCCTTGTCCGTACTCCTCCCCACTGGATCCTCACCTTGATGCTCCTTTTGAACATGTAGCCTGGGGTAAGAGATCCCTTCCTGAGCAGTTCACTGAAGATGACAATTTGCTCGAAGAGGAACACGCGCCTCTCCTTGGTTCGGGACTGCATGCCTGCATCCAGCTCAATCACATAGAACGTGTCCTGCTGTAGCAGCTTCCCTTGAGCGGTCAGGGTGCCCTGATGGAGAAAAGGGCTAGGGTGAAGTAAGTGAAAAATGGGGAGATGACCACAGCCCTGTGGGTCCACAGATTCTCCCTTCTGGGGACCTGGACAGCAGACCTGATACCAAAATCCTCAGGGCTGTAGTAAGAGACCAAATTAGGACACAACCATTCATCTAGGGCAGGCACAAGGGCCTTGCAGGGAAAAGGTAAGAAGCAGGTCCAGGAAAATTCCTGATGGAAGGTAAAATTATTAGCTAAAAAGATGTTCAGAAATGATCCCAGCCCTTCTTGTTTTATTAGAAGGAGAACAGAAAGTAAGTGATGTTTGGAGCTAGAAGTGGCCTTTTTGTCCTTGGAGCTCTGAGAAGCATGCCTGCCCGGTTCCCTTGCAGCACAGCACAAGGACCTGGAGTCCTCCAGTGGCCATGAACCTAGAGCCAACTGTGGCCAAGAGAAGTGATGCAGGAGGGACCACAAATAATGTGATAAGTTGGGCCCCTCTTTTCTCCTATTATTTTAAAATGGAGGAAATTCTTCTGAGATCTTAGTCTCCTGCTACAGATCAACATGTACAGTTGGGTTACTGTAGATAGGTGCCCATATTGTATAAGCTAGTAGATATTTTGGGGGTCCTGTGATCCTGCTTAAAATGCCTCCAGCTACCAGGCCACTTGACACACAGCCTGGGAGGTGGAGCCTATTTGGTTTGCCAGTTTCTGACCAGATTTTCAGAGAGAGCTTCACATCTTCAAAGAAAATATGGCTCAACCCTGCAAGTCTTCACAGATGCTATCTAAGAGCCTTGCTTTTCCTACTGTTCTGCAAAAAGAAGCTGACATCTGAGTCAGCAGCCAGAGGGCCTCCTCTGAATCATACTCTCTCAGGTGACAACTTGACCCTTTAATGCAAATTTGGGCCATCCTTTTCACACCTTGTCACATTCCAAACATTACCCAGAACATGGGTCACTTTTCTTTCATGCTCCTGAGAAACACCTCTGCTTGGATCATGCTCTTCACTGTCAAGGTCAGCAGCCAAACAAGCTTATCTCTACCCTGGTCCAAAGTTAATATTAAGCCGGTGACCAGCTAGCCAAGAAAGCTAAAGCTCCACTAACATTACATAAGAGCCTGACCCATGAGGAATAGCCCTGCCAATGCTGAAGGGAAAGCTAGAGGATTTAAACTTGGGGAGGGACTCTAAGTGAGGGGCTCCCTTCTCCCTGGCCCAAAGCCATTGGCTTTAGCAGGAACGGAAATATGTTCAAGGTCCTTCCAGATTAGCTGAAGGAATACAAAGTAGATTCTCTGGGGCTTGATGAAAAAAGGAGATGGTGGTACTTGATTTAAAAGAGAAAACAGTTAAACACCCTGGTATGTGGTCTCTTGTGGACACACACACATATGTACAACATAGTTACTGTGAAGTCTGGCTTGAATTAGGCAGCAAATCAGATGCTGTTCCTCTTGTCAGTGTTGAGTTTCTCCAGAGGCCAGGAGAAATCAAGCCAGACTCCTGCTCAGAAAACATGGGGACATCAAGGTTTAAGAGCAAAAGCAGTTACTTGTGTTGTGCAGAATAGCCTCAGACCTGGCATGACTCTAATGGAAGAAGTATAAAACCTCACCTAGTAAGACTAAAATGCCTTGTAAGAACACAGAATATGTTTCTGCTGCATAACTTCCTTATTCTCCTGCATCGGGTCTGCTGTGGGGGACTGGGAACCTACAAAAAAGGACCCTTGACCTACTTCCTGGTCCCAATAAAGCAGTGGAATCAGACAGGGACACCAGGATGGGCTGGAAGGGCAAGGAGGACAAAAGAATTTGCTTCAAGAAAACCATGAATCCAGTTCAAGAACCCAAACCTGAATATAGCATCTCCTAAATTTACTTATGGACCAGCCTGTCTTATATTTATTCTAGTCTACCTCTTTTAAGTTAGCCAAAGAAAGACGTCTACTACTTTATTAATGATGCCAACTTTCAGGGATCCCTTTTCTCCAAAATGGAATAATAAAATCATCAAGTTGTAGGGTTACCAGGAAACAGGACCGGAAGACTCACATCTTTCTCTAAGGGCTCAACAACAACTGTGTACCAGCCAATAACTTTGTCAGTTCCAATTTTATGATACTGATGTTTAAACAGGTTATGTTTCATCAATATATGAGGTTTGGAATATAAACTAATGACAACTGCTTACTAAGTTCAAAGAACAAGTTGAATTTTTCTAATTTAAAGTTTCATTGTTATGGGTTGCATCATAACCCTCTGCAAGTCATATGTTGAAATCTTAACACCGGCACTTCCAAATGTGACCTTTTGGGGACATAGGGTCCTCACAAAATTAAAGTGAGGCCATTGTGGTGATCGTGCTTGAGTATGATTGGTGTCCTTATAAAAGGAGGAAATCTGGATCCAGAAGGAAGGTAAGGAGAATATGCAGGAAGAATGCCATATGAACAGAAGATGCCATTTATCAGCCAAGGAGAGAGACCTGAACACACCCTTTGCTCACAACTCTCAGAAGGAGCCACTATGCCTCCTCCTTGATTCTGGGCTTCCAGCTTCTACAGATGTGAGATGACAAAGGTCTGTTGTTTTAGCCACCCAGTCTGTGGTGCTTTGTTATGGCAGCCCTAGAGAACTAGTACATTGACGGAAACCAAAATCCTGGGGACATCTAGTTGTTTCTCCTAAAATTTAACTCTCCTCTTCAAAGAACAGAAAAATGCTCATTTAACTAAAAAGCCAGCCACTGTATAGGCTTGCTTATTAGAACCACCCTCTCAAAGAAGTGGTGTACTCTCCCTCTGGTTCTATTTCTATCACATAGTCCCACTCTCCCTTACATAGTTGGCATTTCTCAAGCAAGAAAGAAGGGGGAAGACGTCACAGCCAGGTCCACAGTTATAAAGAATTCTGGGTCTTGCTTGCCCTGTTACTGCTCTGGTTGACTGCTCTGTAAGTGTGTCTGATTGCCCTGTCGCTGGATAGCCTACATAGATGAGTTTTCTAGGCCTGTGAACCAGAGCAGCCAGGCACACAGCAGTAGATGGTGCATGAGGAGGCAGAGGGGGCAGGCACAGGACTTCGAAGGGAAGCTGCAGCAGCCTGGGCTCCTGCTGCCCAGAGGAGACAGGGTTTAGGAGCACTCTCAAGGGCTCACCTCAAAGCCCTGCAGGCGTCCCAGATTCATCATATCATTGCAGCGTTTTGGAACAAGGCACATTAACTCCACGGCTTTCTGTGGGAAACAACAAAAGCAGCTCAGGAGGGGAAACAGGAAGCTCAGCGCAGTTTTGTGCTGGAAGGCAGGGGCCCCCTGGTAGTTCTTAATTCTAGGAGAGGACACTGGTCCCTGCTGCCCATGCTCAGAGGGCTGGGGGACTGTCTGTTCTAGGTGGGGGTGCTGGTGTTCTTCACACATGCTTCCCATGCTGGGACCATGCTACCCAGCCCATCCTTTTCCTACCTTCCCACTTTCGGTTATCAAGTCCCTTCCCTTCTTGTATGTTCTTTCTTCTCTCTGTTGCTTCCTAGTTGCCCAAGCAACAGCTTAGCCTGGCTTGTGAAACACTAGAGTTTTTAACCTAAAATAACTTGCCAGAATGGTCTGTAGCCTTTCTGGCTTAAAATAATCCCCGCGGTGACATTGTCTCAAAGGACTTCACTTAAGGAATAATCCTTGGGGGTGGGGGAGGGAGTGAAAATGGAATACTTTAGACCCAAACAGTACCTAGATTTATGGATAAAATTACACATTGAAACACCCAGTCTCAGGAGAATGTTAGAGGGTTCAAATATCATGCTTTCCCACCACATGTCACTGGTAGCCACGAGAAGAACACCAGTGGGGCTAAGCTCTGATGTGGCCCAGGACAGAATCCTTGAGTTCTAGAAAAACACTCACTGTATGTATCAGTACTCTCGACTCCTCATCCCGCTCAACACCGGTTGGAGGGCTCTGACCGTTTTAGAGGGGTCAGCCAGAGACAACCTTTCCCCTTTGGAGACAGACTCCCAATAATTGTCCCTAGATAGTCAGCATTACAAGCAGAAAACGCTCACCTCGATATCTGAGCACTCCAAGCCCGCCTTCTCGCTGTATCGCAGGAAGTCCTAGCAAGTGGGGGAAGCAGGGAAGGGTGTGGGAAGGGGGAAATCAGTTAGGAAAATAGAGCACTATAAAAAACCTGGCATCACATAAACCGTGATAACACCCAGAAGACTTTCCTTCCCAACAGAGACGGCAATGCTTTGCAGTAGCTGAGATGGGAAGTCATGAGCATCACAGAGAAAAACCCAGGATAGTCAACTATTCAAAACTGTGAGAAATGGGAGGGAGGAAGGGAAGCAGGGGGAGAGAACATTATGACGAGAGAAGAAAAGAGGATTATGAGAAGAAGGGATGGGAGAAAGGTTAGCTACATCTCTCTTTCATTTACCTCCTGTTTCTGTTAGGCACATCAAATTAAACCATTAAAAAGTAAAATATGATCAAATTTTAGCTATTACTCATCTAAAATTTCTAGGGCCTTTCCTTTCTGCTTGTACCTCACTCTGATTGTATGATTATTTTTCACTTTTTGTGACAAAGTCAGAAATTAAAAAAAAGAAAGTGAATTAACCAACCTCAAAGTTGGGAATAAGAGGTATACAATTTATTTGAGGGCAAAGCTGACACAAGTAACCGACAGACAAGACAAAAGCTCACAGGTGCCCGCTGGAGCCCACGGCAACAGTGTGGGGAAGGTAGAACCTCCAGCTGACCTGTTTGCTAAGTCAGGCCCTGACCCAGCCCATGGCCCCATGGCTCTCTTACCTTGAGGAGCAACTGATACTTGGTTATTCTCTGAATGGGCTTGATGAGGAAGTCACTGAGCGTTAGCCTTTGATTTATCTCCTGTTTCACCTCCTGGAACACAAGGGAGTGATGCTAGAAAAAAAGGAGCCAGAGAACTGGGGTGCTCTGGATCGGGGTTCAAGGCTTCAAACAAGACAGGCCTTCGTGTTTGCCAATGAAGTTTTAGAATATCCAAACCATGTGAATGATAGAATTGCCTACAGAACTGCTATCGTGTTATTAATAACACAGAACACACATCATCTCCTTCTGCAGGTCAGTCACTTTCATATGCTGTGTCCTCGCCCCAGTCCTGGGGGACAAGCAGGAATGGGTATTCCGTTCTCTCCACCACTCCAGGGCCAAGTCAGGGGTGACGGGCTTCTCCTGGGACACGACAACCTGAACGCCCTCAACTAGATCTACAGACACCCCACTGAGGGTTCTTTCGGCCACATGCACACTTGCAGGCTGGGGCAGAACAAACACTCTGAGGTGCTGGACAGAACCTCTGGGAACGGAGGCAGAGACTACGAGGGAATTACAAGCACCACCTCAGCGGGGAGGGTCCTCAGCAAGGAGTGTCCAGGGCTGGTGAGGAAAACCGTGGGCCCTGGGGCCACATAAGGAGGACAGCAGCTTCTCAAGCAGTCTGTGTCACCATGGGGGCTTCTAAAAGCACGCTTGGCCACCTCAGCTCCTCTCTGGCAAAGGGGCTCCTGAGAATTTAGCTGAGAGCTAATGGCTGTGTTGAGGCAGCTATCCGTGTCCTGAAGGGGTCACCAGTGCTGTGTAGGCGCCACCTGTGGGTGGCTGTCTTGCTTGGCCTGAATTTCTTCCCCCGGCCCCAGTTCAGCAAAGCCGGAGCAGCTTACTTCAAAGTAGGCATCGTACTCAGCGACGATGTACTCCGAGCGCGGCTTATTCTGGCAGTACCACACGTAGATGTGCAGCTTCCGCTCCTGCAAAGGCAGAGGGCAGGCGCTCAGTCCCCTCGTGCCCCAGGGTGAACCTCAGGGCCTGCGAGTGCTCTGCCAGTCTACACAGCGACAGAACACTGATATGGTCCACGGTCCACACCTCGGGGGTGCACCAGGGCCCTTACATACCAAAGATAGAAGAGTAAATGGAGTAGCAAGAGCCCATCGTCCAAACTGCCAAGAAAGTTAGTGACAACTCAGAGAAGGGTGAGAATGAATAGCAGGGGAGACAGGAAGTTAAACATGCATGTAAGCGAGCCTGATGGCAGGGGAGGGGAGAAGGCGCAGGAAACACTCACATGTTTAATAAAGAGCTGTGCCAATTTGTCTTGTTCCTGGATACATTTTTCCAGTTCAGCCAGGAAAAAACTAAAAGGAAGGAGGGGATAAAAAAGGAAGCCACATTCTTCAGCACTGTGTAATGTCTCAAGGCTGAGATAAATGACTGAAGACTCTCCCCGAACTCCTAGCCCTAAGGTCAGAGGCAGGGGGTGAAGGGGACAGGAGGGCCCTGGAGTCCTAGGATGGCCCAATCCTCAGAATGATGTAGTACTTACTCCTTATGCCAATCGTAAATCTGGTGAATATTCCCAAACACAATTTTGTCCTTTCCTCGCATGTCCTCAGGGACGCCCTTTTCTTCTATTCTCTTCATGAAGCCCTGTAGGGCAGAGGCAATGATGAGCTGAGCATCTTCACAAGAAAGCTTTCGGGGGTGAGCACAACATGCAGCCCTGTGTGGGCTCCCACTCTGCACGAGTCCAAGGGCAGGTGCTTCTGTGGTTTCTCAGTATTCAACCAGGGCTATACCCTTGTGCTGAGTGACACACAAAGTTTTTGTAAATTTCTGGCTCTTGGCCCTGGCTGGGTAGCTAAGTCAGTTATAGTGTCATCCCCATACACTGAGGTTGTGGGTTCGATCCCTGGTCAGGGCACATATAAGAATCAACCAATGAATGCAAAAAGAAGAAGAATAACAAATCAATGTTTCTCTCTCTCTCTCTCTCCCCGTCCCTCTTTCTCTCTAAAAAAAAAATCAACAAATGAAATTCTGGGTCTCTTTCTTTGTCTTCTGCCCCCTTAAGAAAGCAGAATGAAGAAGACATCACTCGCCCCTCTCCTTTCTCTCAATCCGTTACACATCTTTAAAGACTCAGAACCAGACACATCTGGCCTAGAAATAAGTCTCAATATGATAATACTTTAGACTCCGTAAAATGTTGTCACGTATGATCTCATTTCAGCTTTAAGGTCAAGCTTGGAGGTTGTCCAGGCAGCGCTTATCTCCCTGACAGATGAGAAAGCCGAGACACGGGGGGGTCTCATGACCTGCCCGACAGTCGCACCGCTGCTGTCGATGGCCCCGGGTCGCAGCCTCCAGACTCCCAGCCCTCTGCTCCTGGGCTGCACTCTGTGTGGAGGTTGCTGTACCCCTGCCTGCCCCATCCTTCCTTGGAGAAGAGGCTAACTTCCCATAAATTGGAAGTCAGGTCCTCTGTACGCCAGGTTAGTTCGTTTACCCACGGTTCAGGATAGGCGCCTACAAACCGTAAGTCAGCGGATTTCACTGGATGGGGACGTCTAGGTCCAGTGTGAGGAACCAGAAGGCACTTTAGGCGTCAGACACTCAATTTTTAGAATTCACATTCTTTCATTTAAGATGTTTAGCAACAGGGCTCTAAGTTATCTAAATTATCCATTTACTTTCTTAGACTTTCTTATCCAAGTGTCTAAATGCCCCTACAGTAAACCCCTCTGGAGGAAGAGCTGTTTCATTCACTGCCAAGTTGACTCTGAGCTGTGGGCCTGTCAGTCTTGCCTTACTGGTGGTTTTTTCTTTGTCTGTCTTCTTGGAATTCATGTTCACAACGTTCTCCTTAAATCTGAGGAAGCACATAAGCCCCAAGCTTTCACTAAGAGTAACCTGCTTAGGGCAGTCCTAATGGCTTATAGCTCTGGAGAATATTATGTCCATGAGGTTAAACACCAACGAAAACCTCAGACAAAAACTTCATCACCTAAAACAAGGGGAATGTACTCAGCCCTAAGCAAGAGGCTGCGACATTCGGGGCCCCACCTCCCTCTAAATCTCTTACAATGTTCAAGGGGAAAAGAAAAAAAGAAAACCTTACCTACATATTCTAATTAATCTATTACCATTTTTAGTTTCATTTCTGCAAATACCCAGAGAGAGTAAACTACATCCTTTCACTGTAAAACACCTCGGCCCCACTAGGGTCCGATATGCCCGGATTGGCTGACCACCCGAGCCACCTACTCACCTCCACTACAATCCCCAGATCCTTGACGTAGTCTTTCTCAGTCTGCACCAGCTCATTCAGGACAAACCTGAGCAGGAGATGAAGAACAATGAGGTTCCTCCTCAGTGTGAAGCAAGAAATCTTCACACTTCAGTTCACAGGAAAGTTACTCTGCTGCCTTTGTGACGAGACCACCCAGAAGCCCACACTGGTCCCCCCGAGGACCGTGCTCACTGGCGCTCTCCCCATGAGAGGCCTGCATGGACGGCTGAGGGCACCACGGCAGAGGAGGGGCTTTCCCAGACGGGACATGGCCAGCCGTCAGACAAAGAACGCCACTCACAGCCCAGCATTCTGCGTCCTGTTCTTTATGCTCTGCCTCCCTCGCTTGTAGCTGAACAATTGTAGAGACATAGGGCAGAAGGAATGACAACATTTTGACAAAACTGAGTTATGAAAGCTTGAGGCCAAGGGATCAACATGAGACTTTTCTCCCTTCATTTCTGCTCCATTCTTCACTTGACAAGAAGAGAAGATATTTGTTTGATAACAAATCTCTGAGGCCTCAGAGATACTGACACTGAGTGGGGCTTTTGAGATATAGAGACTACAGTTCTTCAGATAGGTATCCATGGTAACTGACCTGCAAAATCCCCAGTCAAGGCCAAGAAGATTGACTGTAGACATTCCAAAATAACAACTTTGAATGCACAGCCTCCCTATGCACCACCAGGTGTGGGATTTAACAACTTCAAGGACATTTGCTTTCTTGGTTTCTTTCTTGTTAATGATTTTCTCCTCTTAGAGTACTTACTCTGTGCCAGGTACTTCACTGGATTTTCTCATGCTTATAACAAGGTAGGGATTGCAAACCCTATTGTGTGTAGATGAAAACACTCAGGTGGCATTGCCCAAGAGGGCAAAGTGAGTAGCAGAGCTGAGATTTGAACCCATTTGTATAAGAGTTCAAAGAGTCAGCTCTTTCACCATCGTCCGCTGCCTGGGAAACCACTCAGACTGGCTCTCTGGAGTCCCCGAGGCACCAAAGCCAAACACTTCCCTTTCTGTCCCGACAGTAAAGAGCAGAACAAAAGCACAGACAACCCTGGGCTCTGCACTGGCACCCGCTGGGTGCTGCGTGGCTTGCTGGGGTCTGACGTGTATTATCTACATTTGAAAGAGTTTTGCCTGGAGCCACACAACTGCATTTTTGGCCCAAGTAGCAGGAGGGATAAAGTTCTGAGATGTGAAAGAGGGGCCCCAGCAAAAGGGTTGAACCCAGGAAGCAATTCATCTGAAATTCTTGATCTGTACAGCACAGAGAAGCCACCGAGTCCTCCGGTCTGGGGCCTGGGGGCGATGGGGAGGAAGCCAGGGGAACACATGCCTCTTTATCGGCGCGTCCAGCACCACCAACCAGCTCCCTCTCTCTGAGACACACATGTGTTGTAGGCCACAGGAAGGAACTGGCAAGGCCAAATAAAAGCATTTAAATATAGCTTTAGCACAGCCCAAGTTACTGCTTGGAAGAAAGTGGTAAAAAGAAAACCCGTAGGGAAGTTAGAGTAGGAATTCAGGGTTGGAAGGGCGCTCTGATGAGGTGAAGTCCAGCTCTTTGTCTCCAAGCGATACTTTTATCCTGAACTGTTTGCTGAGCCCCTGAGGGCTGTCTTGGGAAGGGAACAGGACTGGGCACTGCCAGTGGACCTGGCATCTCTTCCCTTGAAGGGCTCTCTAACCCCCTCTAGTTCTACCCACACTTGTTGTGACCCTTGCCCTTTGCCTCCTGGTGCCACACATGTGCACCAGGGTCCCTGGAATCTGGGGAGGCCACTTACATCCTGCCTCGCAGGGCCTTGGCTTTCTGTTCTTCTTCCAGGTTTCTGGTAGGTGTGGGCGGGGCCATCCCCTCATTCAGGCAGCCTGCCGGTTCTTTCAGGCTCCCCCGGTATGAGCCTCCTTCTAGGCTCTGAAAGAGAAGAGTAAACAGCCTTAGAGAAGGATGCACTGGAAAGGCCTCTGGAAGGCCCCATGTTCCCTGCACCCCTCGTCCCACCCCGGCCATAGGCAACTTGGAAGATATGTAGCCTAGGCTGTTCTCCCTGAACCTCAGTGTGAGCTCCAGGAGACCGGAGACTCCCATCTTCCCGCAGCAGGGAGCCCAGAGCTGCGGCCTTCCCGGGCAATCAGGATGTGCTTGGCGTCATGTGCTGCCTGCCAATTTCCCAAACATCAGACAGAATGAAAATTGTCGAAGTCATTTATCTCCAGGTAAGAGCTCCAAGGTGAAGCTAATCATGGCGATTCTAACCAAACAAGCAGTTAGAGAAGAAAATCAGAGACAGGAACATCAGAGCAAATGATAGGGGAGGGTAGTGACACGAAAACCAGTTCGTTTAAAATCATGTTTGTTTAATCAGCTACGATGTTTTTTGAGGAAGTCAATAGATTTAGCCTTTTCTAAAAACATGTTTGCTAAGGCTATTTACCAAAGGGCTTTCTTCCATTTATTAATCTCTTTCATTTCTTTTAATTTAGTTGCTATGGGATTGAGAAACATTTGAAAGGATTAATATGGTGCTCTAGAAAGAGCAAAGTGTAAAGGATTCTAATCCCGGAGCTACCAGTGACTGGATTATCTTTAATGAGACAGCTAAAGTTATTATATGCTTCAGTTTTCCTCAATTTGCAAATCAGAACACTCCTTTCTACAGCTTTCAAAGGAATAAAAGTACCAGGGAAGGAGGATCACACAGTGACACTTAGCATTTCATGATGCAAATTGGCAGACGCAATGTGGGTGAACAGTGAGACTGAAGATTGAGTCAATGTGGGCGACTGTGAAACAAATGTGGGAGATTAATCCAAATTCTCTGTACAAGACGCCTGTCTGCAACAGCCACTGCTGCTAAAAGGAAGGGCTTTGCTTTACTAGTCTTCGAAAACGTCAGCCCCAAGGTTGAAGTCACGAAGACTGAAAAGTGTCCCAAAGAGTAGCTCAGTTGCTTAGAGTATCATCCCAATGTGCCAAGGTTGCAAGTTTGATTCCCAGTCAGGGCACACACAAAAAGCAACCAATGAATGCATAAATAAATGGAACCACACATTGATGTCTCTCTTTCAAAATAAAAAAGAAAAAATGTCCAAAAAGGTAGGAGGAACAAAAAGCTTCACATGGTCTTAAACAACATGCACTTGGAGCATCTGTGAAGGACTCCCTGAACTGCTGTATTTCAACACAGGCCAAACAGAGGCAGAAAAAGTCCAGAAAAATGAAACAAAAAGCAAAGAGGGGCCCAAAGGGCCACTACATGAGAACAGGGGGAGAATATCGAGACTTGAAGCTGAAAAGCTTAAAGCTGAAGAGAGATGTCAACCTCCTCCCCACTCCGCTCCCCAATCTATGTCCAAATCAACAGAATGTGCTGAGGGCCAAACAGGAATTTGTTACCAACAGTAGAAACTAGAGTGAAGAAGACAGGGTTTTTAAGCTTGAGAAAGAGAATTTCTTTTAATTTGACAGGAAGGTATTTTATAGAACAAGTAATCAACCATGGACTCTGTTATCCAGAGAAGCAGCAAAGTCTAAAAATATAGAAAGGTCAGGAAGAGTTTAGCTAAATTTATAGGTTCAGGATCTGTAACCAGTTATTAAGGAAATGAGTGTCTGGTGCTGAGGCTTGACAAGCCACCGGACAGGCAGGCTTTTCAGTGACATGTGACATGTCCCCTGGTGCCACCACCAGAGACAAGCTCCCCAGGAGGATGCACTCAGAGAGTGATTGATCTGATTACGCGTCTTTCACTTCCCTCCCATCCTCCCCAGTGTCCTGTTACAGTCTGTTCTGCAGCCTGCCGGCTGGCAGGATGCTGGCTGCGAGGCCCAGGAAAAGAGCTCATATCTCTGCCTACGAAGCTCTCCTGTGGAACATCCAGCTTGGCGTGGTCCACTCTCAACTCTTCTGCAGATTGAAGGACATCTGAGGAGTCCAAAATGTCATGCAGAAAAATATGTTCCATCTCCCCCTGCCCAAGTGATCTCTGGGATGGAGCTGAGAAGGGCAGAAGCTGTGCAGGAGGAAGAAGAGGGAAGTAAAGGGTTTGGCTCAACTGTATGCTTGGTAATCTGCCTCAGATAATGGTGTTGGCTGTAAATACTTACAATAATTGAACTGAGGACTTAGCTACCTGTGCTAGAGTTGGGATACTAGGTCCCACTCAACGGCCACTAGGGGTGACCTTCAGCTGCTGGTGCTGCTCCAGTGGTGGGGGGCTGCTGTGTGCTGCGCCGTGTACTGCCACAGGGAGAACTGCCCTGCCTGGGCTCAGGTCACTACAGTCTCAGCAGACAAAGGAAAAGGTGTACAAAGGAGGGAGGGACAAAAGTTGCACAATGGGTGCTCCCAGAGTCAGTCCAAGGTCAGGGAACAGAAATGCAAACAGAATTCAAAAAAGCAGATTAAGTGTGGAGGAAGGCTGTCCCCATGTTAAAAATGAACACATTTCCTGTGTGCTGGGTCTTGGATCACACACCCATAAAACGCCCTTCCTCTGGGCCCCTATGACCACCCTTGACACACCCCCTGCACAGCATCATGGCACAGGATTGTAAGGGATCGTTTGTTCTGTGCTAAAGCACATGGGTGTCTACATGCTGAATGTCTGCAAAGTGCTGGAGAAACAAAGAAGAACAAGATAGGGTTCCCTGTCCTCCACAATCTAAGCTACAGTGGGTGTTCTTCCAGACAGAAGAGGTACCACACAGGATGAAAAGGGAGCTGGCAGCTCTATGGTGGGGAGGAGAGGAAAGGAAAAGGCTTTAATGGAGGAGGCACCTTGAACTGAGTGTTGAGAAATGAAAAAGGGTTTAGTGGATCTACCAATGGGAGGACATTCCAGAGCAGCACTGTGAGCAAAGGATCAGGTTGTGAGACTACATAGGGCAGCCTGGGAAGCTGCCAGCTGCCTGGTATAGGCAGGAGATGGGGGCGGAGGGGTGGCAAATGACTGTGCTATGTGAGTTGGGAGTGGGTCAATACTAGGGAAAGAGGTGAGGAATGGAATAGGTAAGCCTGCAGAAGTATGAGGGGGTTGGATCGTAAGGACCCTTGTGTGTAGCATTAAGAAGGAGAGACTTCACCTTCTAACGCCAGTGACAGGAGAATTTTGTGCAGGGAAGCAACATCATTGGATTTAAGTTTTAGAAAGATCGGTGTTAATATTCCTCTTCATGACTTGGGAAAATGTCTGATATAATACCAAAGGAAAACAGGCCTTAAATTTTATATGCTCTATGATTACATTATTTAAAAGAGTCTAGAAGAAAATATATCTAAATTTCAACCCTGAGTTATGTCTAGATGATGATAAGTGATATAATTTGTTTATACTTGTTGTTTTCCCAATTTTTCTTGAATGAGCATCTATTGCTTTTATTAGTCAAAAAGAACCATTATAAAGTTTTTTTAAAGAGAAAGAAAATAAAGTTCCCCTGGCAGTCATGTAAGGAGACAGACTGAACTCTGAGAGAAAATGGCTGCCACAGTCCAGGTGGGAGGAGATTCTGAGCCCTGACCCTAGACTACAAGTCCCATTAAGGAAGGTTTTGTGCTTGATCCCAGAGTTTGCACATAGTAGGACCCCAAGAATGTACTGAATATGCTATGGAACTCTTGTGGAGAGGTCAAAGCTCATCTGATGAAAAAGCAGGCCAGGGGCTGGTCCGGCACTACCCACCATGCCAACTTCTAGCTGCCCCATCCTTTTGTACAAATGTGTGCAGTGTTCTCTGGGTGAAAGGTTTTAGATCTCAGTCTTTCCCAGGAAAGTTGGGGGTGAGGTGAGGGAAAACAAGTGTAGAATAGAAAAGCTGAAGTCCAGTTTTTCCAGGCAAATGACATTCACGTTTGTGACTTTAGGTTAAAATTTTTTTTGTGGAAATCTAAACTTTTCTTTTTAAAAAATATATTTTTATATTTAGAGAGAGGGAAAGGGAGGGAGAAAGAGAAGGAAAGAAACATCAATGTGCAGTTGCCTCTTGTACACCTCAAGTGAGGACCCGGCCTGCAACCCAGGCATGTTACCTGATTGGGAATCGAACTGGTGACCCCTTGGTTCGCAGGCTGGAACTCAATCCACTGAGCCACACCAGTCAGGGCTAAACTCTTCTATTTCAACAAGCTCAATAACATTTTCCATAGAGGGATGTCAGAGAAACCCAATTCCTGAAAACATACACCTTCATAATGGACATAAGGGGCCAGTATATCCTTCCATCTGGACTCTGGACTTCTGCTTGCTCTACGTCGCCACTGACAAAGCAAGTCAGTTCATCTAAAGGAGAGCAAAGCATGCACAGGAATACAGCCTGGTCCTACCCAGGTAATGTGGCCCGCCATGACTGACCAGGGCAGACCCAGGATGCTGAATGCTCTCAAAACAGAAGTCTCAAAGGTAGGCAGTCTTGCTGAAGCAGGTGACACATTCTCAGGAAGCCAAGCCACAGGTAGACTGAACAAAATCTCAGTCCTGGCCAGCTCCTTCCCTATAGGCAGAGGATTATCAGCTAAGGGTCCTGCTGTCCTGAGCCCAGTGAACTGTTGTGATGCTGCCTGAGGACCCTCCTCAGGGAGGAGGCTTTCCCTCTAAAGGCTCAGCCCTTCTTCTAGGCAGGTCGGGGAATCTTGGGGCTGTTTAGAGGAACAAAACCAGTCATACAGATTGTTAAGCTACTACCCAGCAACATTCACCCAACTACCAATACCCTGTTTGACAAATACTGTGTCCCTGGGCCCAGGGCATGGCTGTAGAAGATAAAGTATGACCACATTTCCTTTCCCTGCCCTTCACAGTACTTATGAGTTGGCTAAGAGCTAATGTTTGTAGAATGCTCGCGGTACCAGTTTACCAAGCACATTCACACCTCACTTAGTCTTCATCTTAACTCTCTTGAGATTAGATTCGGGTGGACAGAACCAGCATTGTTGATAAATGAGATAAAACTGAAGCCCAAGTAGCCTAAGTAACTTGCTCAGGACCACAGAGTAAGTAGCAGAGGCAGGACCAAAACCTAGGTCTTCTGATTCCTTATATACTCACCACCACCTCCAGTCTACATGTCTGGAAAAAGCTTTATTAAAAATCAAACAGGGAAGGCAGGGGGAGTCCTTAGTCTTGCGTCAGAATTAAAAACAATACCTTAATATAAAACCTAGAGCAAGTATGTTAGCTCTGTTTGGGAAGGTGGGTGGGCATCCTCTCGTGGTAAACCAAAGCCTGAGTTAAAGACCCAGGCTAGCCAGAGAGAACTCAGAAGTGCTCATTAAGGTCCAGAGGGACTTGCCAAAGGAGGTTCTGGGGATTTTAGGGGTTTTACTGGCACAGCACCAGAGCAGAGAATGCCCATCCTCATTCCCTAACAGCAGTTCTCAAGCAGCAGAGACCACAACACTCAGGGCGGGAGCCTCAGGGCAGTCAGAAGCACAGATAAGCAGCCAGGGCAGCTCTGAAACTCAGAGACATAAGGGATCTCATGATGGCTGTTGGGAAGAGCTAGGGGACCAAGTGAATTCCGAGTGCAGAATTTGGGGCTATCTTTGGAGCAACCAAAACAGAATTAAAGCCTTAGATATAAAAGTCCAAATATACCAGATACTGCTGTAAAATTTCCAGACTCTACATTGAAAAGGACCTTGTTGGTTCTTCTTATACTGAACTAAGATGACTTCTGCCCACAGGCCTAGGATTCACCCTCGGAAGTAAGAAAGTGTTGCGACTAACCCCTCTTTCCCACGGCACTGCTCAATCATGAGAAGACAGCTCTTGTGTCCTCTCTCTCCTAACTTCTCCCCATACTTAACCTCAGTTTCCTTTTTTTATTAGAGTTTTTAAAAAGATTTTATTATCTTTGTAGAAAGAGGGGAAGGCAGAGAGAGAGAGAGAGAGAGAGGCAGAAACACCGACGTGAGACAGAACCTTGGTCAGTTGCCCCTCACACACGTCCCCCTGGCACGTGCCCCAGCTGGGACCCAACCTACAGCCCAGGCCTGCGCCCTGACTCGGAATCAAACTGATGACCTTTTGCTTTATGGGACGATGTCCAACCAACCGAACCACACCAGTAGGGCCTTAACCTCAGTTTCTTCAGCTTTCTTTCAAATGACATGGACCACATGGTACTGGCTACCCCTTCAGGGGCGACTTCCACTGAGTTCAAGAGTGTTTTGAAATGCCAGGCTCAGAACCCAATGCATGACTCACACACAGCTCATGACAGGTGTGGTCTGAAAGCTCGAGTGCAATGGGGCCATTACTCTGCTGAATCTGTACATTGTGCTTCCATTAACCCAGCCTATGATCACGCTGGCTCTTTTGGCAGCACTCACATTGTTGTACTTACAGTCAAATAAAAGCTCCTGAACTTTTACAGGCTCTAGGTCTTACCCTCTTCTAAGCTAAAGGGCTGATAGGGAAGAGGAACACAAGTCTTGGAGATGAAAACACAACTTGGTATTTGTAAATGTGGCTGAGGAAAGCACCAGCTACTGCTGGCTCCTTTGCTGCCCCAGGGTGGGTGCGTGTGGGGATGGGAAGAAAGAGAGGAGGAAGGACAACGGACGGAATTTCGGTGAGAAGATTCTGAGAAACCAAACCACTGCTCCCTTGTTCCTTTCCCCTCTATGAGTTTGGTTTTGTATATCCAGCCAAAGAAATCTCTATAATTCTAGACTCATTGCAGGTCCTCAAGAAGTAGTTATTAGTGGAAGAAGTTAAAGATCCTATTATGGTAAACTCACCACAGAAAGGCCATACATCTGAAGACATCTGTAGAGAGCCAGTTATAGGGCCAATTGACTCCACCACCAGCCTACACTCCCTCTCCTTTGGGGAATCTGCTCTTATGGGACTTCTCAGTATCTGCACCAACATGTGTCACACCACATCCATTGCTCACACAGACTGGAGGTGAGCAGAGACTCCTGACAGTGGTAAGGTGAGCAGCAGTAGTAGAAAAAAGGTACTCCAACGTATGAAAAAATACAGACTTTTGGAAACAGATATTTACTGATAAAAGTGTAAAAGGCCCCTATAGTGGAGGAGAATACAATGTCCTAAATGACAAAGCATCTACCTGGAGAGGTAAATGAAATGACTTTCATTTGTTGAAAGTCATTGTAAGGAGTAACACACAGGACCACCGAACAGCGGGGCTGGGCGGGTGCGGTCTGCACAGTGGTCCCCGTGGGACCGGCGGCACATGACATCTGGCCCGGGCCAGTCAGAGGAGCCCTTGTGGGGAGATGAGATTTGAGTGGGGCCTTGAATAACTATTACACTTTGGATAAGCAAAAGTGAGGGGGAGAACATTCCAGGGAAGTGGAATGAAATTTGGAGGCAGCACAGGCAAATGTGTGTTTGGGGATAGTGAAAAAAACAATTCCGTGTTCATCAACCACAATAGCAAGTGGACGCTGGAAAAGACAGGTTGGGAAGAAGGCTCCAAAACATTAGAAATATGAGTAAATGTGGACTTTATGTATGGGCCAGTGACTTCCAAACGTTGATTATGTACCTCTATCAATAAGCCTAATTTTGGTTACACATATCCAAAGCATGTAACTTACTTATAAATCATACACGTATATCTGTGTTACTGTATTACCATATGTACATATTAAGACATACACAAGACTGTCAAACAATGAGATAAAGAGATGCCAATCTTTTCTTCCTGCATCTCAACAAACTGTCTTGTGTACTGAAGGCACCCCACAGTGGAAACAACTGCTTCTGTGGCTATAGGGCAGTGGTGAGCCTCCACTGTGGAGGGAGGCAATAAACAGTGCTTGTGAAGGACCAGCTGGAGTGTGAGGCCGGGAGGCAGACCAGGACAGGGAAAGATCAAGCAGTGGATACTGCAGTAGTGCAGCCATGAGGTCAGGGCCCAGGCTCAGGTGGCAAAAGAGAAAATGCAAAAAAAGGATGATTTTTTTTTAATCCTCATCTGAGGACATGCTTTTTAATTTTTGTAGAGCGAGAGGAAGGAAGGGAGAGAAAGAGAGAGAGAAACATGGGTCAGTTGCCTCTTGCATGCGCCCCACCAGGGACCAAACTTGCAACATATGCATGCGTCCTGATTAGGAGTTGAACCCACCACTTGTAGGACGACGCTCTAACCAACTGAGCCACACTGGCCAGCGCAGGATGATTTTTAAGGAAATAAATTATTTTTTATGGTATTTGGAGAACGAAGAGGCTGTATGGGTTAGTGTAGCAAGGAAAGGGGAGCAAGTGAGGAGTGGCCAGAGAGGGGAGCTTTGAAAAGTGCACGCAGGCCCATGACAGTGCTCAACCCCCACCTGTGGGGCAAGGAGAGATGGCAGGGAACAGACAACCCCCTGGAGGTTGGCATCCTTACTGAAAACACCAGCTAAGCTCTTTTTAATTGGGAAGGAAAGTTAGGAGGAAAAGAAGAAAGTCATATATGTTAAATTCATTGGTACTCCATAAGAGCTGGGACATTTAAAGAGGGAGTTCCTGTAATTAAAATTATTATCAGGTAGCTTTCCCCCGAGAGCATCCATCATTCCCTCTCATTCCTGGGCCAAATGGAGAAGGGTTGAAGTGGTGCTGATGGACAGGACTGCCCGACAGAAGTCTGGCAGAAACACAGGCACTTATCCTAGTGAGAGTTGCAATAAAAACAAAGTGAGGGACATAAGAGAGAGCAAAGGAAAGGAGAGGGCTTCAAGTTGTCATCCTGTACTGATATACTTTTTATTATTATTATTTTTATTCTTATTTATTCTCCTACAGTACATTTAAACGTAAAAATAAGGGAGTAAAGGAGTTCTGTCACCAGCATGAATGCCAAAGCCCTGAACCAGCTCAGACTCATGACAGGATCTGCACCAGCTCCCTGAGTGTCTTGCGGGGAGGTGTCCATGTACTTGTGCCCATGCTCCTTCAGAATCAGCAGTCCACTTGTGTGAGGTACGCAAGCTAGAAGACTACCTGAGGTCCCCAAATACAATTACTCAGTGCTTTCAAAGATCCGATCCCTGTTCCATGTCTCTGCAGAAAAGTTAGCTTCCAGGCTAACCAGACACACATCAGTCACCGTCAAAATGTCTCTGCCCTGGAGACCAGTGGACCAGGCTTATTGGGAGGCTATTTTGTCTTGAATACCTTTTACCTCTCGTCAATGTCACAGTCCCAAAAGAGTCTGTTCACTGTCCATACCCGTTCCCGAACAAATCCCAAGAGCACTCAGGCACACAGCTTTTTAGAAAGCACCACTCGCTGGAAGTGACCCTGTAGGAGGAACGAGGGTAGGTGCAACAGAGAACACTGCTGACAGATGCCAAGCCCTAGGAGCCACACAGAGGGGAGATCCCGGCAGAGCTGCCTCTTGGGCCCCACTTACCAGCTTGCTTTTGACCAACTGTTCTATTGCACTGACAAGGTCTGCAGCAGTAGGCACCTCGCTGGAAGCCTGCCGGGCTGCTAGCAAAGAGGAGGACTGCAAAACATTGAGCAGCAGAGGAAACGCAGATTAGCAAGGAATGAGGAATAGCAATTAGCAAGCAAAACAGCAAGTCCAAAGCTCAAAGTGGGCAAGGCAAGCAAAGCTCTTGGGAGTTTCGAGGGAGGAGATGACAGAGGGACATGGGGCGGGGGAGGGGGGGGAGCGGGGGGAGGGGTATGGGTGTGGGACAGGCCTGCCAGACCCTTTGTCAGAGTTTCTGGCCAGAAGTGAAGCAGGAATGCGACTAGGCTCTCCTTATGCAGGCCCCCTAAGGAGCTTAGGTGGGTGGGGGTTTGCTGCGTTCTCTGGGAGACCAGTAGGTAAGGGTTGTGCCTACTGATAGCAGTGGGGTTGGGGTGGAAGGCAGATAACACTTGGGCCACTACAGGGCTGCCCTTTGCTATTCCAGGGTGTGAAAGGAGTCAAAAAAGCTAGCTCTGAGTGTGTTTGAAGAAGAGAAATTATCCTCGCTTTACTTAGGTGTAGATCTTAAATATAGATCTTACTGTGTGTCAAGCAAAAATCAGAAATGCTGAGGGCAGAGCACTTAAGACCAGAAAGGTAGACACCTACTCCCCACCCCCATGCATACTCAGACACACACTGCTGCAAACTGGCACACTGGGAAGTAACTCAAGGCTTTGGCAGGACTTGTGTAACTTGTTCTGGAGAAGCAGGGACTCTCCTGTGCACAGAGAAGGGAGGCTCAAGGCCAGGGCCTGTCCCTCTTCCCTCACACCCACAATAAGGCTTAGTCCACACGGCTGTTTGGGCAGTGCTCTGGGGACTCCTGCTCACTGAGGAGTGGTGGTATATTTTCTTCCCACTCCTACTTGAGAAGAAACTGGGGGAAATGATCAACTCTACGTGCACATGCAAGCTTTTACCCCCAGCACGTCAGAGCAGAGTGCACTGGCCTTCCCGGGGCCCAGGGTGTACGAGTCTTCTGCTTTTGACACTGATGACTCTGGGAGTAGAGAACTGGATGTCTGGGGACAAAAATTCCAGTTTGTCCCCAAAGTTAGGGGGGAGAGTTTCAAAAAGGAAGCTTCTTTTGGCCTAATCTAAGTGTGAGTTTAGGTATTTGCTTCTAAGATAGGGTTAAAAAAAATGAAATCAATGTAGTTAAGAGAGATAAAAAAACTATTTTTTTCTCTCCTGGGGAATGCAAGAAAAATGTGTAAGTCTGTTTGGAAATTGAAGTTATCAATCTTTTATCAGTCTTAGTAATTCTACCCGGGAACTTTCTCCAGGGACAGAAAAGAAAAGAGCGAATGCTGTGCGTGACAGGGGACCTGTGGTGGCACCAACCAGGGCAGCAAAGATTGGAAACCACCTACGGTACCTGAAAACAGGCGGGCCAAGCTAATTATGGCACATCAAATAAATGAAATACTCCCAAGCTATTGAAATTATAGTTACGAAGGTAAAATCAATGAGATTTTAGGAAACATTAAATAAAACACTCATGAACAAATATTAAAAGGAAACATGGAGACTTAATTCCACAACATTAACAATGGGTGGACTCTAAAAAAATTCCTCTTACACTGTTACAAAAGTTATTTTCATAAATCCAATGCCATTTGCTAAAAGTTCTGAGGATCACCAAATATTCCAGAAAAACCAAGGCACTGAAGTCCAACAAACAGGACTGAGGAGGGTTACTGAGTGTAAACAGGGACTGGCCATCTGCCTTACTTCTGGCGAAGGAAAGTCTACATCAATGTCTGCGGGTAAATCCACATTTTCAGTTAAAAGTTATCCAGAAACAACATAACATCCTTTTCCCCAAAATAAGCAGTTCAGAGGGTATTGGGGGGGGGGGGTTCGTGACCTTTACTTATCTTGTGCGAGCTGGCACCTCACTGTGGAAGGCTGTGTGGGAGGGCAAGCAACTGGGGCAGGGGCGTCCTACCCGCCCCCCCGCCCCGCCCCCACCCATACACTATCACTGCTTGCAGAGCATCTCACAAGGATGGGCCTCTGGGAATCCACATGGCACCATGCCACGCTTCCTGCTGCTTTTTTCCCAATAGTCAAGAGTCAGAGCTGACCCCGGAGACCAGGGTCACCAACAGCACCTTAGGAGGGGCCACAACTGTGTGCTGCTCATGGGTGAGTCACAGAGGGTGGCAGCGACCACATCTTAGTCATCATCCTGTCCCTAGAATCTGTCCCTGTGGCACAGGGGACACCCTCAATGTCTGTAGGTTAATGATCCAAATGTAAAGCAGAATTAAAACAAGAACTGGGCTATCACCAGACATGCTGAAGCATCTGTAGTCCTTTTTGAACTGTACCCTAGGTGGTACTGTGTGCTAGAGCCACAGCACCAGAGGAGCCTGCCCAGCTGTGAGGCAGAGCACCAGAGAGCACAGCAGGACCCTGGGGAGAGGCTAGGGTACTGCCACCGCAACCCCCACCCCCGAACAGCACTCCGAAAGCAAATGCAAAGTACGATCGAAAACTGAAACCACCACTCCGACTCCAGAGTGCAAATGACAGCAACTCTAAGAGAAGGCAGGAAAAGCACCGTGCAGTGAAAACGTCTGTAAGGAAAGTCAGTGACGCAGCACATGACTAACGCAGCCTGGGGCCTCGGATCAGAGCCTGAAAGCACAGCCAACCTCAGCCTCTGTTCCAGAACAACCGGAGAGATCACTCTGTGATTAGAGGCCCAGCAGACTTCACACTTCAGACATCCATGAGCCCCTCTGCCAGGGAGTCGGCATTTTTGCCAAACAGAGAACATGAGCGAGCTGGCGTGTTAGGTCTGCCCACCTTTGACAGCAACCTCTCCTGAGCAGCATCTCTGCCCTCATGCTGTGTTTGCAGAATTTTAACAGCACTGGGCATGACTGGAAGTTACCGTTATTTCAGTTTTAGAGGTGAGCATAGGGAAAACAACCAACTAAAACATAGGCCATACAGTCAGGAACCAGAAAACGATAATGGTGTAGAATCACCTCAGATTCCCCTTTGAGACTACTAGTGCCTTTTGAGATCTGCTGCTTCCAAAGACAGAGAGCCATTACCCTTCATCAACAGGACAAGGGGCCAGGCGGGTCCCCACTCTGAGTGTTCTGCATACATGGCTACACTGCCCAGAATGAAGTCAGATCTCCAGGGGAAGGGAGGGGACCCCTAGCAAACACAGTCAGAGTCTGCATCACCATGGATTCATGTGGTGTAAGGGGTAGCAAGGGCGAGAATATCACTACCCGCCCCCCCCACACAAAATACAATCACATGTGTTATGCACTGCTCTTTCAAGTGAGAAAGTCAAGAAGCCCCACCATCTCATCCTGTGTCGGGTCATTGTCAAAGATCTTCATAGGCGGAGGGAGCGGGGTGTGTGACTCTTCATCTGGCTCATCTTCACCCCAACCTTTCTTGCTCTTCTAGAACAAAAGAGCAGCATTAGTCACTGTTTCATACAATTAAAAATGCCAATGGACTTGCAACTTTTAAACAAGCAACTGAAGATACTCCTCTCTCAACAGACTCCTGTTTTTTAGCCTCAGTGTCCTCTTCTATAGAATAGGTACACTTGCTTACCTTGAAGGACAGTGAGGACCAAGAGGGGACACACGTGAGAAACACCCACCCCATTGATAAGCCCTGAGTGTGGTCAGAGAGAGCCTAACTTTAAGTGTTTGAAGGACGATTAAACCACAATCTGATCATCACCAGGCTCCACTGTCATTTTCATAGGAAGAAATGGCAGATATAGTAAAATTACAGAGTATGGTTGCATATTAGGAAGTACTTCTTAGCCACATGAGTGACTAGAGTAGGTTAGTTTGCCAGATAAAATAGCTATCTCTTTCCACCAACCAAAACATACCCACTGTATTTTGATCACAGAATCTCAGCTTTGGAAGGACCCTCAGAGGTCACCCCAAAGGACCTCTTGGCTAACACAGGTATCTTTCTGTTATGTGAGATCATATAGCCTCCCAAACGCTTCCAGTATGGGTGTTCATTCATTTTCATGAAGGCTCATTCCATCAGTAGTTAACAACCCCTTCCACCTCTGTGCTGTCTCTCTTTGAGCTGAAACCTTACCTGTTACAACTTCCACTTATTAATCATAATTCTCCCCTCCAGAGCAAACTGGACTTGTCTACTCCCTTTTATATGGGGCGTTGCTCAAGATGCTTGTAAACAGCTATAACCTCTCAGCAGTCTTCTGTTGCCCAAGTGAAATGGTCTCTGTTCATTTATTCCTATTCTGAACAGGCCTAGCAAGGCTTGATGCAGTCCTTAGCAGTGGCAGGGCACTAGGTGACTAGCCGGCTCCCCTTGGAGCCAAATCTGGCAAACTTGGGTCTGTTTGCTAGATATCCTAGGTGCTGGTCAGTCTGAATTGGTCACAAATCAAACTGGCAAGGTCTTTGGCATTGACAATACAATGAACTTGGGTTACTTAAGCTCAATAAGGAACACTTCCGGGGACTAGAGACTGTCCAGCTCACCACACCTGTGGAAAGAGGCCTCCCAGGCCTCCAGGGAGGATGTGTGTCAGAAGCCCCTTCCTGATGGCCATGTGTTAATACCTCATCAGCACTGTCTCCCTGAGGGGTCGTCTCATCACCAGGCTTGGGAGATCCCAGGTCAAAGCTCTTCCGACCATCACGCACTTTCTTCTGCTTCTTGATGTTTCCGTCTGCTTTCCCACTGTTAAGCCGGCGCACAGGACTCGTCAGCCACTTCTTAAGGGTGTTGGTGGAGCGTTTGGGGCCGGGCGAGCTATGGATGGAGTTCAGGGAGGGCTGAGACTGCAGGTTGGCCACTGACTCGGACTTGCCTCCATTTTCACTTGAGGAGTGAGAGTATGCATCTGAGGAAAAAGAACAGACAGACACAGCGTGTCAGAGGCAGTTAAGGCGCCTGCCAGCCTGGGAGTGAGACAGCTCTGTCCTCAGGAAGCTAGAACGTAGGCAGAATGTCAAGGCCAGCTGCAGACCCCAGTCAAGGACACACTCTCAGGAACGGCAGTAATAGTGACACACACTCGGCTTTTAATGTATTTGGCACCACTCCAGGTGCTGTGGTTCCAGGAGAAAAGAGAAGACAAAGACACCTTCTTTCGTGGAAAAATCAAGGTCCTGAGCAAGAGTTACCAACCCGTAACAATGTTATGGAGCAACTCTTAGTGTTTTTTAAAGATATGCAAGTCAAAGTGTTCATTTTCACAAACCTTTTATGTAGCTACACACACACACTCACACAGAAGCAGAGAGGAGAGATGAGTGAAAGAGCAAGTCAGAGCTCACAAGATAAAGGTAAATTCACACAGAAGTATGTGCCTAATTGGACTCTAAATGATAAAGCAGTGGAGTTCACAGGAAGGTCAGATCAGTGTTGTCGGGACTGGTCTGTAAAGGTGTGGAGAGAGAGATCTGTCTGACTAGAGGAGAAGGAAGAAGAAATTCCCAAAGGAGGAGAAGGTGGGGACAAAAGCACAGAGGCAGGAAAATTGGAAAGTTAAGTTACCATAGCCCATAAATAGATCTTTTGAATAAAATGAAGATTAACAGAGAAGAAGAAACTGGATAGAAAGATTAGTGAGGATACTTAATAATAAACTAGAGGAGTATAAACTTTATTGTGAGACTTTACCAGAATGATGATAAAAAGGTTTTGTTTGTTAATTAATCTGGTACCTATATGGGTCTGTCCAGCAATTATTAATATAATGAGAATGGTTTGTGCGACTTCAATGTAACCTGGCAGCCAAGGAGAGTGGACTGGAATGTGCATGTGTGAACAATGACAACTTCACTGTACTGGTCAGTTGGGGATGGTAGATGCCATTGAGTGAGCATGTGCACTGTGTGGCCCTCGCATTCAAAATGACTGAGGGAACAGAGCAACGAATCCACATCAAATGTTGCAGTAAGCCTGAACATTCCTCTGCAGAAACTATTCGGATGATTCAGAAGGCCACAGCTATGGGCACCTGGTGATTGGCAGCATCATCATAACAACACACCTGCTCATGCTTCCCGTCTTATGCAGAGTTTTTTGGCAAAACATCAAATCACCCAGGTGACTCAGCCCCAATTTAGCCTTATTAGGCGCCCTGTGAATTCTAGCTTTTCCCCAAACTAAAATCACCTTTGAAAGGGAAAAGATTTCAGAGTATCAGTGAGATTCAGGAAAATACGATGGGGCAGCTGACGGTGATTGGGAGAACTGTGTGAGGTCCCTAGGTATCTACTTTGAATGGGGCTGAGGCATCATTGTCCTGTGTACAATGTCTTTTGTATCTTCTTCAGTAAATATGTCTATTTTTCATAGTACATGGCTGGATACTTCCCGGACAGGCCTCGTATACAGCATATCTGTGGGAAGGGGGCAGTTAGAACCTAGAAGGCCACACTAGGGCTGTGTTGAGGGACTGTTAGGAATGAATGTGAGGCATTTCAAAGCAAGAAGTGGTGCCGTTAGTGTCTGGATGGCAATCAAAGGTGAGTTACCTCTCTGTATGCTGCTTCTTCTCATTACCAAAATGGTCTTGGGAGAATACCTGACCAGCTTTACCTTGACCCCCAACACCTTCCTCCCATCACCCCAGTGCCAGTTTGTATACTGATAGTTAAACCAAACTCATGACTAGGTATTTAAACAAATTATTGGAGTGGTTTTTTGTATACCTACTTATCTCAAAGACTGAGTCACCTTTCCCCATAATAACTTCATCCCAGACCTAGCCTAAAAGTCTAATCTAGCCTTGGGGGCTCTCTGGCCTAGACAAAGAAGAAACAAAATCCTGAGAGAAGGTGAATGAATGCTTTTGCCAACAGAGAGCTATCTCTAGCTTCTACAACTAGCTGATCTCAAAGGCACCAAGACTGACCCTGCAGGGACTTCCTTAGACATTGGGAGAGTTTTGTACATACTTTAGAAAATAACAGCAGAATATTCGGATCTAGAAGCACAAAAAATGAGCTCCTAAAGTTCTCTGGTATGAAGAATAACTTACAGGGTTGCTCTGCTGAGGGAATATTTGGAGATCGACTGATTAGGTTGGCATCCCTTTAAGGACCAGGTTGTAATCTTATCTCTGAGAATTCCTTGCTGGCCACAGGCTTGAGTATGTTGACATTATTTCTGAAGTGTTGGTATGGGTCAAACTCCTGTTCTCAGAAGCCTGGGTGATAAGCATCTCCCCAGCACTGGTAGTGGGACCAGGGCCTTTCTGTTACCTTTCTGCTGATAAGCTGCGAAGCTTCTCATTCACCAGGCCCCTGTGATGTCATATGGCTTCACTGAATCCAAGCCTTTGAAACCTAGATTCATCAGCACATACTCTGTCAGCAGGTTAATGAGCCCAGCCTCATTAATCAAGCCTTGTGTGACTAAGCAAGACTTTCTGTTCCATGGCAAATTATAACTTGGCTTTGAGACTCACTAATGCAAACTTCGATGGACGGTTCTTTTGCTCCCATCGTCATCTGGTTCTGCTTTGGTGCATTCTCTACAAATTAGCAGCAAGAGTCCAGATTATGAAGTACAAATTACAATCAAGAGTATTCTCAATTTTGTTTTTTCTGTGTAAACAATTAGGGCCATCAACCCCAGTCCACATAAAAGAGAATTCAAGAGATGGAAACAATCTATGGTTTATCTTTTAGAATTCAGACAGTACCATTTCTAAATAAATTTTTCTTGCTTTTTTGAAGATTTTTTAAAAATTTATTTTTGGAGAGAGTAGAAGGGAAGGAGAAAGAGAGACAGAGAAACATCAATGTGTGGTTGCCTCTCACATGCCCCCTATTGGGGGCCTGGCCAGGCATGTGCCCTGACTGGGAATTGAACTGGTGACCCTTTGGTTTGCAGCCCGTGCTTACTCCGCTAAGCTACACCAGCCAGGGCTCTTTTCTTGTGTGTTTTTTTTTTTCTTTCAGTTTTGAGATATAATTGTTTTATATTTATAATTGCTTCAGTTTTGAGACATATGACATTGTATTTGTCTATGGTGTACAACATGACTTGATGAATGTGTATGTATTTAGAAATGTTTACTAAACTAAGTTTAGTTAATATCCATCTCACATAGTTGTAATTCTTTTCTTGTGATGAGAACTTTTACTAAGTCACTTCAAATGTATGGTTATAAAAGAATGCAGCATCATTTAATTTAGAAAATTTGTTCTTAGTTTATTACTGCTTCAAGGAATGATTGGTGTGTTACGCTCCTCCCATCTCTGGGAGATGGCTGCAGTTAAGTTGTTCGAGGATTTATTCTAGTACCTTTCCTGGCACAGCAGTTAAGGTACTCACCTGTAACATCTTCAACAATAATACTTTGTCTCATCGAATCTTTCCAAGCTGAGGTAGGTGCTATTTTATGCTCATTTTAAGAAAGAGAAACTCAGAATATTTTAGGGCCCCGAAGGCTCATAGGTAGTAAGTGTCTGCAAGGCAAGATTTGAATCCAGATATGACTCCACTGCATAAATACCTAATCTTATTCCTATATCTGTGTTCATTCCCTGTATTCCTTTAGCCTCTATGATTATTGTAAAAAAGAGCATGAAGTCACTAGTCTTTGTAGCATTTCAAATACACATTTATATATAATTTATATAAGTTGTAAAATTGCAACATTGAAAACAGTCTCAGTAGCACTAATTTTATGGAGAAGGCAACGGAGGTTTTGATATGGGAAACCCACTGTCACAATTAAGTTGATCACAAAGTTAGGACCAGAACCCAGCCATCTCTATGTCTGCTCCGGCCCTTTGAAACAAGGCTCCCTCTTTAGCCCTGAGGTGTAGAATTGCCCATTAGACTGATGTCTGGTTTTGAGTCACTGGAAAGACAAATGTGTCCCTGGACATGGCAGGTAATAAAGTTCCCCGGATGTTCCCCATTTCCCCATTTTCTGCATCAGAAAAAAGAATCACATTCTGAGGCTAATTTATTATGAAATATTTTTAAATACAGAAAAAAACTAATATCTATATAGCTACCATTTATTTATAATAAATATAAATATTTTTTCCATATTTTTGCTTCAGTTTTTAAAAACTGAAATAAATAAAATACTGTATAGTTGAAGCCTTTTTTTTATTTTTACCTCTTTGCCATCCTATTACCCACTTTCTTGCCCAAAGTGAAATTCTCCACTGCTGTTAGCGGGCACCTTTCCCTCGATTAGCCACTTATTGTTAGCCACTTATCGTGTATGTAAATATAATATTCTGTTGTGTTTATATTTTACATAATTACCACAATGTAGGTATTAATTTGTAACTTGCTCTTTAATTCAAAATTATTTATCTGTGTTCATATATGTAGATCTATAAACTTCATTCACTTTAAATTGTTGAATAATATTCTTTCTTAGGACATATGATGTTTGTAATATGTTATCATAACAGTAGACATTTAGGCTGTTACACGCCCCACCCACACACAGATATATAGTGATTTTAAGCAGTCCGTACAGCTCTCTTGGCACACGTGTGAGAATTCCCCTAGGGCAGGGCTTCCCAAACTTATCTGTGGTCAGAGACCCAGTTTTCTTATTTCCAATCTGTTTTGGACCAATACTTTTATAACATTAAGTCATATTCTTAAGTGTCATAGAAATGTCAAATTATTATAAAAGCTTCTAAATGCTAGCTCTCATTTCCTTTACTCATCTCACTGTGGATTGGAAACAAATAGCTCACCTTTGCTGCCTGCCAATCACACACTGAGTAGCACTCACACTCTCAGCTCTGCAACATTTAAAGTACATATCAGGTCTGTCCAGAAAAAGTCCAGCCATTGTTAATATAATGAGAATGGTTTGTGCGATACTGAAGTAACCTGGCAGCCAAGGAG